GGCTGAGTCAACCCTGAGCCGGTGAGATTTGAACCGCTGAACTGCTGATCTAGCAGTAGCCTGCAGTGCTGCATTTAACCACTGCGCCACCTCAATCATGAGCCAGTTCTTTCTGATAGAATGGATATGATCATCACATCCTCAACCCTAAATGCAGTTTATCAATGTGTTTCACTCACCCTGCTCTGCTCTCACAGGCTCATCCATTCTTCTCTCTGCTGGAGGAATGCGCAAGCAGAAGGCATATACTGTGCCCCCATTAGTACCTGCCCACAAAGAAGGGCTGTGCCGAGAACCTGAAAAGAAGTAACAGAACTCATGAGTGGAATTCTCATGCATAACAAGTGATGAAAAACAATGGTTTTCATTTTGTTTTGTTCACACTGGGCTCAGATCTCCAATATAAGCACCAATCTTTTCTGTATAAGTACAGAACTTCTCTGACTCAGTCCAGTTCAGTCCAGCTCAAATACATTATGAATAATGTGGGCTAATGCTTTCTTTAAAAATATTTACATTCCTAGCATTTGTGACAATGTGAAGAGACTGAAAAAATGAAAACAATTATGAGTCTGTATATCAAAACAGCCCTAATGAACCAGATTAAAATGTGCCTAATCCAGCAACGTATTTCCTTTTTTTAACATTTGTTGTACAACAACTCTAATAGTGCAGCCTCTGAATCCAAGAGGTATTATTTTCTTCTGTATACTATGGGGAAAGCCATCATGTAGCCCCTTTTTCACACTGCATGTGGTTTCTAAAAGTTTATACAAGCATGCCATTTTTCCCTAAATTAAAAAGCCCAAAACTTGATTGTCACAAATGCCTTCCTCATTAAAGTCAATATTCCTTTTCTTAGTGTGATTTGTTATCCAAGTTCTAAAAAATTACTCTAGTACAGGGGTTTCAAACTAGTGTTGTAACGTGACTTTCCCCCCTTTGCTAAAACAAGGATAGGCGTGGCCAGTGCATAACACATCTGGCCCACAGGCCACGAGTTTCACACCCCTGTTCTAGAAATTATGCAATTTGAATAACTCCGGGACTGGGCTGCGGGTGGACAGATGATGGCAGCATTGTGTGTTCGCACTGAACCCCCGCAGATCCTTTTGACCAACATTGCCCGGCCTGTTGAACTCCCGGTCTCTTTAGTAAACCAGGATTATTTTAGAGGACGTGGTTCGGGTGTCAGTAGAGACTGGCCACCTTATGGGACTGACTGTGATTGTGACTGTGATTGTGACTG